GCCTTTCCAGTACCTATTGGTAGGGTTTCTCTTGCGGGTGAAATCGCTTGTAGTCTCAGTAAGCTTAGGTATAGTAACCTCAACCTGTGAAAGCATCTCCTTTGTCCAGTTACTTACCTTCTGGAAAGGATTACCCTTCTCGGGAAGTTTGGACTGTTGGTCAGACATTTTCGCTAAGCCTGGCAATGGTACCTTGTTAGAACTCATGGTGAGGTTTGCAACTGCGCAGCGTTGCATTCTAATGTTTTAAGCTATTTATGTCTAGGTGCAAGTCCACGAATCAGTGTGTGTCCCTCAAGCTCAAATAGAGACAGTGGTGATATCAGTCTCGTCTTGAATATTACATTATTTGGCGTCAATCCTAGTGCGTTAGCAATGACGTTCGTTACATGTACGCCATCGAAAACATCAATAGGTTCAGATGTCTCTATTACATGCTCGAGCACCGCATCGATCTCAGATTGACATAATGTTAATAAAAGATCCATTGGCGCAAGCGGAATGGCATCATATGTTAGCCTTGTGTATACACACGCACAGTCGAAGTCAATACGCGATAGCGAGTCTTCAGGTATAACAGACTCAGATTCTGGAATTGATAGCGCTGCAACATTCATCAGAATGGCGACATTTCGTCTCATGATAGCATCACTATGGTATTCAGGCTGCTTCTTGACATTCACAGCACCATTCGTCGCTAGCACCAGAGAACAATTGGATTTGCAGGAATTGTAATTCACGCGGATATAGTCACTGCCACTTATATTCTTGAATATCGACATGTTGAGCTGGCTTCTCTCGAGATCTACATCGTAACATACTGCCATGCGGTTGCCTACAATCACCTCTGCCACTTCGTCTGGCATCGACCGTGCTGTTGTCGTCAGCGAACCATCAGGTAATATTCCGCAGCATCCCAGAAGAGAAGTGAAAATTATCTGAAGTAGATGGCTCTTTCCTGAACCACCAGGACCGCATAGCATCAATGACTTTGGTCTTGACACGGGGTCCACTAGGCTGTTGCCAACGTGCCACATCACTGTCACAAGAGCCCTGGGATCCGGAAACACGCGTATGAGGTACCGTATCATATTATTCTGGCCAGGAAATCTATACACAGTCGGTATCACGTCGATATCGACAGGCATTATGCATACGCCCTTCACAAGCTCAGAATTAGCAGTGACTTTTCTAATCAGTTCACGGCTACGATTGAATGTAAGAGTCTTGCTTTCCATGTCCATGTCGATTTCTAGCCTTTCAGTGCCGAAACATACGCTAGTAGGAATAGTCTTACCCACATTGACATTACATCGCTTTACAATGTAACGTATGAACGATTTCATAGCCTTGTCGAAGTTAACCGTAGCATTAAGAATTCCAACAAGAGTCGTTATTCGTGACATGGCCTCTGACGATGCGAGATTGGTCCAGTAGTTAGACGTATCGATGAATACATATTCACCGCCACCGATTCTACAAAGAAGTCCAGGATGGTATAGCCATCTGTCAATTGCATCGAACCGCTCTCGACCTTGCGTCTTTACCATCGGCTCTTTCCATTCTACATCAGCTCTCCATTCGAAGAGACCTTGATCTTGCTCCATTATGACAAATTCGTGCGGTGTACAACTCTGTTGTTCCCGTACGTAGTCTCTAACTTTCATTAGAACTTTTCCTAGTAAGTTCTCACCCCATTTGGTAATATATGCCTTAGCTACGTTAGCTCTGAAACCGATGCCCCACAGGCTATCCATAATTACAATCTACGCAACAGCGTTGCGCATTGTCACTGTTTCTATTAAACACTAGGAACAGAGCATCATGGAAGCCGTCAGCCTACCGTTTGAAATTACAAGAAATGTACTTATGTATCTGCCAGTAGGCTACATGCACCTGGCAGTTATAGCTCTATCACGCTATGCATCATACGATGACCGTCAGAGAGAAGTGTCTAATGTCATGAACATCTGTAGATATCTTTCCAAGCTTACTAAGCATCCGGCTGCCCTCCTTGCACTGATGCGGCACACTGATGTCTTGCTATCTGGATCTAGAGCTACTAATTATTTTAGTCCAGGTGCTGCAGATGGTGAATCTGATTGGGATTTCTATATTGATGACGGAGTACACCAGACGAAGATGTTTATCGACCTCTCTAAGCAGCTCGGATTCAAGTGGGAACCCCGCGTATCAGATCTGTACGACAGGGCCAGTGAGGCTCGCGTATTGTATACTGGCGAATCAGCTTCTAATGGCGTGAAGCAAAAGCTGCAGTTGATATCGAGCTTCACAGAACAGTCGCTATATTCGATGATACTGGACTTTGATATGACCCAATGTCAATGCTTTATATCAGGTGCGCTTGCTGTATCGTTGCATCATCGATTGACATCAAAATATATGGGAATTAAACCTGCTTATGGATCACCGGTTAGAATGCGCAAGTACGAGGCAAGAGGTTTCGCTCTGGTAGACCGGCAAAGCGAGTACCCTGTCGGTTGTAAGGACGTGTATAGACATATCCTAGATTCTAGAACCGCCGCAGTTAGATTTTCGCAGGTTTTTGATGTGTCAACTTGGCTTATCTCAGAGTCATTTTACACGAAGAACCTGCCTGCCGTAAGGTGGTACGAAACTAGCACTCATGCACGTCGTATCCTCACCTATGTTCGCAATGACGCCA